ATAGATAGATAGATAGATAGATAGATAGATAGATAGATAGATAGATAGATAGATAGATAGATAGATAGATAGATAGATAGATAGATAGATAGATAGATAGATAGATAGATAGATAGATAGATAGATATTTTTATTTTATATTTCCTCAGTTGTACCTACTTTGACCCACCCATCAGAACCCGCTTGTGGCTCGAACCACACCAAAATTTTACTGCTGGTGAACACACGCAGCGAAACCAATTTGACAATCACTCGACTGAAGAACATCGTCTTATACTTCGTCACCAAGGTGAAGGTCGGTGCCATAATAACCCTGGACGTCTGCCTGGTGGATCCGTTTGAGAGGAAAACGTTTTTCAATCTGACCAAGGTGAATTCATCACAGGAGATCACGTCTGCCATCGACCATGTAATCTGGCACGAACATGATGACGCTCTTGACATGAAACCGTTTATGGAAGCATCTTGGTATTCACAAGATTATATACAGAAAAAGTGGTTACCTCGTTATGGAAATGTTACAGAAATTGAATATAAAGAGTATTTTGTCGTATTTCTGTCTCACTGCTATCGTAGCTGTCTCGTATCTTTGGCTATTTTACAGAATAGGTACTGGCAGCTCCGAGATATCTTAATGATTGTTCTGTTGTATTCTCCTTCCGAAGTTAGCGCTAAAATTTATAACAGATACTACCAAAGAGCTTTCGGCACAGAAAAACAGTTATATTTGATAGTTGACAACAACGATGAATTCATCAGATACAATCCAGTGACTCTCTACGCCTGTCGGGACTGTCCCGTGGGCTGGAAGCGGTACAGCCGGATGGAACACAACAGGCTATCCTGCTATTTCGTAGAGACGTTGGACACGACCGTCTCCTGGAACGAGGCGTCCAACCATTGCCAGTCGATCAACTCGACCCTGCCGGTGTTGGAGACGGAGGACGAGCTGGAGTTTCTAATCAAGTGTTTAAGAGAAACTGGAACCAGGCACACACGTGACTTCAACCTGTCTGCAGCAACAGAAAAAACAACGGAGTTAGCGTACGTCGGCTTATTGAAAAAACATGTGCCCAAAGCGAAATCTTTCGTGTGGTCGAATTTAAGACCCTTCGCTTTAGATTCCACTTTGCCAAAGATGTCTGATAATAAGGAAAATTGCGTGGCCCTCAATTTTACCTTACGGTCTAATACCGGAAAAAAGGGTATCAAGTGGACATTGGTCAAATGTGATACACAAAGGTCGAAAATACGTTTGTGTGAATTGGAAGTTAATCTGGCTCCTAATTTGACTGGACTAATGGCTCAGCTAAAAACAAAAAAACAACGCAGTGATCTGTGGAGAAGCAAGATCAATCCAGCGGAGAGAGATCCCGAAACATTCATACGTGTGATGCGTGGGGAACGCTGGGGCATGTTTGATTGTAAACTTAATGATGAGATGGTGCCTTACTTCTCAGTTTGTGATGGCGTGCGAGACTGCGGTAACGGCAAAGACGAAGAATATTGTCCGACGATGTCAGCCATTGACAAGCAGAGGAAATTTTTCTGCGTTAACCCAAACGGCGCTGGTTCTCATCCCACCCGGATCTATGTCCATTTGGAGGAAAAGTGCAACAACCAGCAAGACTGTCCCGACAGTAGCGATGAGTTGGGCTGTGACGGATGTTTGGACAGACACTGCGGAGACGGCACGTGTGTCCCTAGCCACTGGCTGGCTGGTGACCTTCAAACATGTTTTATATTTATAGCAGCCAATAGAACCGCGTATTTGAATGTGTCTTATCCGTGTCAAGGTCAGTGCTCGGGATTGATTAAGTTCCATCATGAAATTGTTTTCTGCAACAGAAGCATCAAATTGGATATATACTCAGACGGGCGAACATTTTATAACAACCTGACCAGCGGTCTAGAGTGGTCGCCAAAATGCTTGTACCACAAGGGAAAAGGTGGAATACCCACAGGCTGTGATGACCAGTACCACCTGAGAGACTGCAGCACATTTCAGTGCCCAGAAGGTTTTATCAAGTGTCCTAACTCGTACTGCGTTCCGGTGTACAACTTCGGAGACGACGCGTTTGACTGTCCGTTTGGGGAGGACGAAGATCTGAAAATTGACCTTAAGGATGTTAGCGACATGTTTCACTGTCGGGCATCGGATGCGTATGTCCACCAGGTGCACATATGCGACGGTGTTCCACAATGTCCGATCTTTGATGATGAAACAGATTGCAACGTGACATGTCCACCTGGCTTCAGGTGTCATGGTAATGCGGTTGGAGTAACGGACTATTTACATGTCATTGAAATCAAATCTTTAAATATTTTTGACGTAAGAACGAAATTTTTAAACATATCCGGCGTCGACCTGTCAAAATTAGAGAAACAATTTATTTTCCCAAACTTGTTTGAGATCCACGCCTCCAACTGTAATCTCACAGATCTGGAAATCGTTTTCAATGAATATGAGAATCGATACATTTACATGGCCGATTTCAGCTACAACGCTTTCAAAATTTTATTTCATTATGGACCACTTTCTTCTCTAACAAACTTACAATTCTTAAGTCTGTCCAATAATAAAGATCTTACTGAAGTTCAGCGTTTCAGTATCTTGTCACCAAAACTTCACACTCTCGATTTATCTTTTACAGCAGTTTCAGTGTTGAATTTATTTGTACTTAGAAAATTCAAGTCCATACGATCATTAAATCTCAGACACACCAAAATAGCTAAAATTGTAACGTTGAAGGCTCTGAAACGTCTTGAGCTTTTAAACCTAGAGAAAACATCACTAAGCACAGAGGATATGACTATGATATTAAAATCAATATCAGTTACTTCAGCCCTGTACGTAGACAACTATAAATACTGCTGTCCTCAAATTTTAACTGGCGGTACGCCAAGACACGCGTGCCACGCACCACCAGACGCTTTCTCTTCGTGTGAAGATCTCCTGAGTGATTCGTTGAAACGTTCACTTCTGTGGTTGGTGGCAGGCGTCTCATTGGCTGGGAACATCGTCGCCATCACCTACCGGTTAGTTTACGACAAGGGCGTCTTCAAGAAAGGTTACGGAATATTTGTAACAAACTTGAGCGTGTCAGATTTTGTCATGGGTGTGTATCTGCTGATTATCGCCTCTACTGACGTCCGTTACAGAGATGAGTATGTTCTCCATGAAAGTGATTGGCGCCACAGTGCACTGTGTCAGGCTGCTGGGTTTCTGTCCACTCTGTCCAGTGAAACCTCAACTTTCTTTGTGTTCCTCATCACACTGGACAGATGTCTGGTCATCAGGTTTCCATTCGGTGAGCACAGGTTTACAAAACTGGGTTTAGTTATATCGGTTCTCACCGCCTGGATTCTTGGTTTCCTCCTAGCTGCAGTTCCGCTCATGCATCCAGAGTGGACAATGTACTCCTCCAACGGGATGTGCTTGGGCTTGCCGCTGGCAAGTGGGGGAGACGCTGGCTGGCATTATGGATTTGGATTGTTTATCTGCTTCAATTTTATTTTGTTCTTTTGCATCGCTTACGGTCAGATATTCATTGTCCGTTTGATATTGTCAGGTCAAAATGTTCAAATGACGAACACACAGAATGTTGATAGGAGGATGCAAGACATCGTCGTTGCTAAAAAACTCTTTTTGGTTGTGTTGTCCAACTTCCTGTGCTGGTTTCCCATCTGTGTCTTGGGTTTCCTGTCGATGACAGGATACAGTGTCAGTCCAGACACCTACGCCTGGTTGGTTGTTTTTGTCATTCCTCTAAACGCGGCCGTGAACCCCATGATCTACACGATACCCGTTATGTACAGCAAGTGGCAGGACTTTAAGAAAGGGATAAAAAACGGAACTCTTCGATGGGTCAACTGATCAGCAACTAGCGAGACAAAGTTATAATTTGAAAGGTTCGATTAAAATTGATTATGTTTTAAATAAGCATAAGTAAGACCGCAACAAAATTCTAAGGTTATCTTTTCGAATTCAACAAGATGAAAATGTTGAAAAATAAATGTAAGCGCATCTTACGATGAGATCATGGTGCAACATTCGCAACAAGAAAATATTGCATGTTCAAATGCAATGATCAACATGTAAAATGTGACATCAAGATACACAACAAAATTACACTGACTGAGCAAACAATTGGGTTTTGTTTATGTTTCGGACATTGGTCATTTCAGGACACTTAACTGTTACATGTTAAAAAAATTGTGTAATACAATGTGTAAGACATGTAATTTATTATGAAGTAAAAGTTCAAGATATAATAAATGGTGTAATAATTAGATGTCTTACAGTTTTTTATTACATGTTACTACTTTTAAATAACAAAATACGTGAAATTTTGTCAAATTTTATTATAAAGTAAATTCAATGTTTACAGTTAAAATAACATAGCAAGTTAGGTGGCTTTAATTATTTTATAGCATCTACTTTAGATGTGTTAAATTGTCATTGCATAATACATTTAATTGAAATATTTCCCCACATAACCTTACACAATACATATTTTGTTCTATATTTTATTCTACATTCATTTAGTGTGCTGCCTTTAATTGTATAGTACATTATCTGCCCTATATCTGTAATAACATACATATGAGATTAATTTCATTATAAGACAAATGTAATAATTATAATAATAATATATAGTTTGTTCTAGGTTTTATTCTACATTCATTCAGCGTGCTGTGTTCCATTACGTAATACATTAACTGCCCTATATCTGTAATAACATAAAAAATATGATTAATTTCCTTATAACTCATATTGAATGGAAACTTTTATATTATGAAACATATTCGTTGTTCTACATGTTTTCTATTTTTTTATTTTTTGTCTTTAAGTTAAAGTAATTAGATTTTTTTTTAATATGTTTTTAAATATATATATATATATATATCTATTCACTACAATTAAAAACAGTGTATTCGTATTTGTATTATTCGTAAAATAAAAACTTTTAAAAGCAAAACCATACGCATTTTTGAAGTCAGTTTAAATTTAAAATAAAAATTATATTTGAGGAAACTTAGAAGAAAAGGCTTTACATTAAGACTAGCTAAAACGCACTAAATTAATTTTTGAAATGCATTACATTGAGAAAGTTTGTGCAGGAATGTAGATTAGCAATTTATGTAGCCAAACAGATTCGAAATGAATCTGAAGAAAATTAAATATCTTTTACTTATATTAGTTTTGTCGGACGATATTCTTGCTCAAGCTTTTCTTTAGTATTAAAATTGTATTCATTAAATTATGGACCAAAAAAAAATATTATTTTGTTTAAATACATAAATATTACAAAATCCTGGTTGAATTGATTTAACTATTTTACTAATCATAAACTTAAATTTAAAAAAAAAAAGTATGTTTGAGTTCATCCACCCAACCATTCACTCCACCTCGAAAGAAGACGCAGCCAACCACGATCATTTTTAACGACAGCGTCAACCCGCCTCACATTGCAGCCGTTCACCAGGCGAACACCAAACAAGAAATTCTTATAATATTCTGTGTGTTAACAAACATTATACTCGACACACCAGATTTTGCTTCACGAGGTTGAAATGGGAATACAGGAGAAATTATTCACAAACAATACTTTTTAATCGTTTTCTTTTCTTTTTTTTTTTTTTTTTTTTTTTTTTTGTTGAAAAAATGCCTTTCTAGTAAAAACGAGTTAAAGCGCATAAAATTTTTGTTGTTGTTGAAAAAATGCCTTTCTAGTAAAGACGAGTTAAAGCGCATTAAAAAGTAAAGAATAATTTCAAATATTAAAAAAAAATACGAAAAAACCCCCCATAAAATAACAACAACCCGACTGTGCAGAAAGTAGGCGAGCACTCAAACACTATGAAGTTCCCAAAGGGTTAACCATAGTCAATGTTTTAAAAATCTCCCCTAGCGTGTTTAAAATCATCTTTAAGATCCGATGTCTCAGAATCACATTATAGATAGCTCGTGGGGGGTGTTCAAAACAGTGATGACATGTATCGTGTTTTTTGGTAGAAAACAAATGTGTTCAAATTTATTCTTAATTCTAAAAAAAAAGTTCTTGGAATGAAGAGGTTTGCCCATTTCTTTATAAAAATAGATATTATTCAACATATTTTTGAGACCAACGAAAGAGATTCGCCAGAAAAGCCAAACACCATAAGCTCTTCACCGAGAAAAACAACAACTCACACACATAAGCTAATACCTGAGATACAAACCATACAAATTCTCCACTGAGATACAAACCCTACAAGCTCTCCACTGAGATACACACCCTACAAGCTCTCAACTGAGATACCAACACTACAAGCTCTTCACTGAGATAACAACCCCACAAGCTCTCCTCTGAGATACCAGCTCCCCAAGGGTGAGCCTGGTGGCAACTTTGTAGTGGGAAGCATTCCCCTTTTCATTTGCACTAGTTCACTTAGTATTTTAAGAAAAGGTATATCATCATTAGCAGCAGAACGTCATTGAATGTCCACAATCATCTTGCTGTCCTCTCAGGCACTACACTGCAGCTTGGTGTTAACGTTATATAAATGTTGTTCTTTCGTCGGAGAAGGCTGCTCGCCGATACGTTCGTTATTTTGTTCAGTCTCTTTCAAATTTTCTCCATACTTTGTTTCACTTATTTCCAACTGTAATACAAAGTTCGCCACATAATTCCTTGTTAGTGTTTTCAGTTCAACTGTTACGTGATTGAAATTAAAAGGAACATTCTCCCATACTTGAACTCAAATGCCATATATCTTGTTTTAAAATCTTTTATATTAATTTCGCTTCTGCGTGTTTATTGCAAAATCTTCGGACGGCTAAATGACCCTCTGCCCGTCAACCTATCGATCTAAATCTCTGCCGCGCATGACCGCGTCAGAGTAATGATCTAAGTTGTTTTTTTTTTTAAAGTTATCTCTTAGTCATGAATAAATCTCTGCCACGCATGACCGCGTCAGAGTAATGATCTAAGTTGGGTTTTTTTAAGTTATCTCTTAGTCATGAATAAATCTCTGCCACGCATGACCGCGTCAGAGTAATGATCTAAGTTGGATTGTTTTTTTTTAAAATAGGTGTGGATCTTAAGTGTTGGTGGTAGGAGTAGATCTTTGTATTGTTGATAGGAGTGGATCTCAATATTTGTTATATATGTGGATCTCAATATTAGTGACAGTCGTGGATCTTAGTATTGTTGATCTGTGTTTCTATTTGGTCATATCTATTTTAATTCCAGTAATGACCTCTTAGTAATTTAAAACCCTCTGGTTAGTATTTCATTTCACACCAAACATTAGTATTGTAGGGGCTAGTATGCAGCAATATAGATTTAGACTCTAACCTTGATTTCTGCAGCCATTCCGAGAGAAACTACTCCTAGACAAGGTTCTCTTCGCCCCCATTTAACAATGTGTTATCATAGATGGGGGGCAATCAAGCATCAAAATATAAAAATAGGCATTGGCTTTTACAATGTAATGACTAAATGGCCCGCCGATCAATGGATTCACGATCCATCCTAATCACGTGTCAACTTTTGGCGGGCTCCATGTCATAGCACTTATCAATTTTTTTATTTTTTTTTGTGTGTAAAAAGCGATAAAATATTTTTTTAACATATTTTTTTTTTAAATAAAAATAATTCTCATTTGAAAAACCTTCACACACGCACATAGATAAACACACTAGATTTAATGCAGTTAATTTTTTTTTTAAGTGCATGAGTTTCAAATGTGCGTTTATAACAGGGATGAAAAAAACAAAAATTAAATTAAAAAAAAGATGTGCATTTGTTATACATCCGGAGGGCAACAAGATTTAACGTATGTGGCCCGCGGGTCCATGAGTTGGACATTCATTGTTTAGAGACAGAGGCGTAGCGAGGGTGTTTGGCGCCCGGGGACAAGATTCATTTTAAAGCGCCCCCTTTTCTTTTTTTCCAACTCTCAAACCCATTATTTTTATCAATAATATAATATCAAAGCACATTTTGGCGCCCCTAACTAGCTTGCGCCCGTGGAAATCTGTCCCCCCCTGCCCTCCCATCACTGCGCCTCTGTTTAGAGATAATATATTTATTTTACATTACCAACTTTTAAAATAATTTTCACATATTTGAATTTCTATCCAATCACATAGAACATACTAAAAAAATATATTTAAAAAAAATATTTTTTTTTTTCATTAGATTGTTTAGGAAATAGCTTATTTAAATTATTCTTGTGAAGAAAAAAAATGTGTTTTCATAAATTCTTTTTATTTCCAGCCTGACCAAATTGTTTGATGTGGACTTCACGTTTAATGTTAGTAAAATAAATAAATAATAAGAAGAAAAAGAAAAAGATTTTTTTTAGCACAAATATTAAATCTATTCATGCCCAGGTCATACATACATATATATATATATATATGTAAATATATATATATATATATATATATATATATATAGTGTCACGCAAGATTCCTACAAGCGTATGTGAAACACTTGAAGACGATATAAATGTGATCAACAAAAAAAGACAATGATAAAAATAAAAAAAAAATAAAAAAAAAAAGAAAAAGATTTTTTTTAGCACAAATATTAAATATATTCACGCACAGGACATACATACATATATATATATATATATATGTAAATATATATATATATATATATATATATATAGTGTCACGCAAGATTCCTACAAGCGTATGTGAAACACTTGAAGACGATATAAATGTGATCAACAAAAAAGGACAATGATTGGCTCATTGACAAGCTCTCGAGCGTGAGGAGTCACACAGCCACAGCACGCGCGCTTGTTTAAATTAGGCGGGTCACGTGACAAAGTCATCATTACTAAATATGTCTGATACGACAGGCTAAATTAGTCTGTGTCTCATGCTTGCTTTTGATCTCACACTATTCAAGCCTTTGCTATATAATACTTCCATTAAATTCCCCTTAAAACATATCACTACTCATCAAGATACACATATTTTTACTACACTGATTACTTAATGATCTACTGTTGGTCAAATAGTTTTTCTAGAAAACGATTTGCTTTTTATGCATACACACACACACACACACACACACGCACACACACACACACGCATATATATATATGTTCTTATTGCTTCTATCTAAACGCAGTCTTCCCTGTATGAAACACAATCAAACAGCAGGTGTGTGTCTGTGTGTTCACGCTTGGGTTGTGTCGTATACACCAGCACACTTCCCGATCATTTTATGCTGCTGCAGCATAAAATCTCATGTGTCACCGTCCATGGAATAGGAAATATGGATTACCGATTCGGAGCTACTCTATGGTGTTGAGACTCGTACACATCAGACTCGCGCACCTGGTAAGCTGGTATACCTTAATATTCTTATCGAATTTCCAATAATCGATAGTTTGCTTAAAGACTCAAACAAATTCTTGCCTTGAAATATCCAGTCATGTGCCAACACTTTGTATTTGGGTTCGCACTGATTCATTTCATGTAAGAATTTGAAGGGTAGCTATTTGAAATAGAACAGGATATCTTTAAATAATCGTATTTATTTTATTTGATAAATTATTTAAAAATTAAATAAGTAGTGTATGTATCTGTTATGGCTATGTATCAGACAAATTGTGTTTTGTAGTCTGAGACATGGTTGTATAACATGATTACTTTAAGAAATGTTGAGTAAAAGTGTCCGACTATTGTGATAGGTCTTACGGCCCCTTAAAAAAACAACAACAAACAAACAAAGAAAAACAAAACAAAAACAGAAACAGAAATGTCCGATGGAATTGCTCTGGGTGAGTAGTCTCAAATCTTTCTATTATTAAAAAAACATTTACATAAAGAAACATAATTTTTTGTGCAATCTGCAGGTAAATAGATTTTTCAAAAATTCTTTCTGTTTTTAAATTAAATTTCTGAAATTAAACTTAATGGAATTTAATAAATCTCTTCCACATTTAAATAAAACGCAATTATAATTAAAGTCAGTTAATATATGGTCATTGTTTGGCTGGTTATTACAATAAAATCCTATCGTTTGTATAAGTTTCCATATTTTTTTTAAATACAAAATTTAGCAATATACAATGTCAGATAACAATTTCTAAAAAAGATATATATATTTTAGCTCCTTTCCGGCCCAACATCTGGAACAGGCTTTTACAAGTGATCCGTAAATGCAAAGATCGGTTTGCAGGTAAAGTGTAAGATTGTTTCATAACTCATTCATCCATTGCACTGACATTAATGGCATGTCCCGGTTTCTATCAGTTACATACACTTTATAAGCACCACCGACAAGAGAGGACTCTGTACGTACCGCAGAGAAGAGACGACTCTATATGTACCACAGAGAAGAGACGACTCTATACGTACCACAGGGAAGAGACGACTCTATACGTACCACAGAGAAGAGACGACTCTATATGTACCACAGAGAAGAGACGACTCTATATGTACCACAGAGAAGAGACGACTCTATACGCACCACCGCACCACAGAGAAGAGACGACTCTATATGTACCACAGAGAAGAGACGACTCTATATGTACCACGGGGAAGAGACGACTCTATACGTACCACAGGGAAGAGACGACTCTATATGTACCACTGACAAGAGACGACTCTATACGTACCACAGTGAAGAGACGACTCTATATGTACCACAGGGAAGAGACGACTCTATATGTACCACAGGGAAGAGACGACTCTATATGTACCACAGGGAAGAGACGACTCTATATGTACCACAGGGAAGAGACGACTCTATATGTACCACAGGGAAGAGACGACTCTATACGTACCACAGGGAAGAGACGACTCTATATGTACCACGGGGAAGAGACGACTCTATATGTACCAGGGGGAAGAGACGACTCTATATGTACCACAGGGAAGAGACGACTCTATATGTACCACGGGGAAGAGACGACTCTATACGTACCACAGGGAAGAGACGACTCTATATGTACCACAGGGAAGAGACGACTCTATATGTACCACAGGGAAGAGACGACTCTATACGTATCACAGGGAAGAGATGACTCTATATGCACCACAGGGAAGAGACGACTCTATATGTACCACAGGGAAGAGACGACTCTGTGTAAGGGAATATTCTGAAGGAGGAAAAGAAATGAAAATAAGTATGGTGTACCGTTGAGGAAATATTAGGACAACATATGTGGAGGCTCGAATCAAAAGACAAGCAATAAGATAAGAAGTCCCTTAGGAGGCAGGACATGTGAAAATACGAGGATCTTAGTGTTTAGGTTGGTGGGAGGATAAAAGCTTAGAAATTAAAGAAATCCCACGAAGAAACATGACCATAAGTTGCAATATCAATATCAATGAGCGTTAAGATATTTCGTGTCATGAATAAGTTCTCAAATAATATATTCTCATCACACATACTGTTTTTGCTATAAGCTATTTAAAATCTTTTAAAACTGGTCTATTTTATTTTGTCAATGTTTAGTTATTGTTGATATTCTTATATATTTCACAACTGCCTGTAATATATATATATATATATATATACATATATATATTTTAGCACTCCTGTGCAAGATCGTGAACACACGCAGGATTGAGTTTGAAGGTAGAGTATTAGAACCAACGATGCCACCTTTATAATTCTTAGCACTTTTTCTTCTTCTATATATTAAGGGCCCACAATCAATTTATTTATCCAAATGATTCCGATTGGACTCAGACGGAATCTAACCGTATTATGTTTATTAATGTTTGAAAATATTCTCTGCACTTTCTTTTTTTGCGTATGCATTTTAAAATGTTTACAACGGCGGTTCTTAACCTGGGTTCGATCGAACCCCAGGGGTTCGGTGAGTCAGTCTCAGGGGTTCGGCGGAGGTCCAAAAAAATCAGGAATTTTTTTTTTTTTTTTTCCTATTAAGGGAAGGGTTCGGGGAATGCGCATATAAAACTGGGGGGGTTCGGTACCTCCAACGGGGTTAAGAACCACTGGTTTAAAAAACGGCGGTTCTTAACCTGGGTTCGATCGAACCCCAGGGGTTCGGTGAGTCAGTCTCAGGGGTTCGGCGGAGGTCCAAAAAAATCAGGAATTTTTTTTTTTTTTTTTTCCTATTAAGGGAAGGGTTCGGTGAATGCGCATATGAAACTGGTGGGGTTCAGTACCTCCAACGAGGTTAAGAACCACTGGTTTAAAATTATTTTTTAAGCCTATTATTAACATACTTTTTTTTTCATTATTAAATTGTATGGTCAAGCAGTGCACGATTTCCAACAATCTGCTCTAAATAATGTTTTTCCTTTCCTTACGTGCAATTAATTTTCAGGAATATGTTCAACTTCCGAAGTTGTGACAGGTGATCAGGTGCAAGGAAGAGATCACCTGTAACTGTGATCACAATATATTTTAATCAGTTGCGAGAAAGATAATTAAATTTTGATGCCCGACTCGCTGAAAATAAGCTTTGACCTTGAGGGCGCAATGCTTTTGAATGATATGTTGCGAATCAGCTTACATGGGGCCAAACTATAGACTGGTTACTTGGGACCAAATATGGACTAGTTACATGAGACCAAAGATATACTGGTTACATGGGACCAAAGATAAACTAGTTACATGGGGCCAAATTATAGACTGGTAACATGGGACCAAAGATAGACTAGTTACATGGGACCAAATATGGACTAGTTACATGGGACCAAATATAGACTAGTTACATGGGACCAAATATGGACTAGTTACATGGGACCAAAGATATACTAGTTACAGGGTACCAAAATAAGACTAGCTACATGGAGAACTAAATATAGATAAGATAAGTTTCATGGGACTAAATATAGACTTGCTTCATGGGAAAAATTATAGACTAGTTACATGGGACTAAATATAGACTAATGACTTGGGACCAAATATAGTCAATTTACATGGGACCAAATATAGACTAGTTACATGAGATCAAATATAGTCTCGTTATATGGGACCAAATATTGACTAGTTAAATGGAGGACCAAATATTGAATAGCTACTTGTGACCAAATACAGACTAAGTACATGGACCAAATATAGACTAGTTACATGGGGGGGCAAAATATAGACTATTAGCATGGGATCAAATATAGACTCGTTACTTGGGACCGAATAAAGACTAGTAACATGGGGGACCAAATATAGATAAGCTACATGGGACCAAATATAGACTAGTTACGTAGGGAACCAAATATAGACTAGTTACTGTGACCAAATACAGAGTAGATACAGGAACCAAATTTGGACTAGTTACTTGGGACCACATATAGACTAGCCACCCTCATGCAGTATGTTTGCTAATGGTACTACCCATACACGTGGTGTACTTTCTTTTCGTTTTCTTCCGTCTTGAGTCATAGGATTTCTAACGGGATGTCCAAATAAATTCTCCATTTGCTGTTGGGTCTTACACTGGGTTATTGCTACGGTACTAACCAGTTTGTATTATTTCTTAATTCTGGGTGTGCGTTCCAAAATCAACAATGAATCAAATTACATGGCACCTCAGTATAAAATAGACTTAAATATTCTCAATTACATTTTATATATCTGTGCTCAAATCTTCCGTGCAAAAATAATAATAAAATAATAATTAATTAAAAAAAAAATTATCAATAAAGTAGTTTTTTTAATCGCTCCATTGAATTGATACATTTTACAAATAGACATTCAAACCAAGCTTTTATGAATTAAATAATAACGAAATCTTCACAAAAAGTCCGTCTGCAGAACAAAGAGAAAAAAATAAAGACAACACCATATCCGGTTATTATTCGCAATCAATTCCAAAATAAGAGAGGAAAAAAAAACAGGCACTTTGACCTAAGAGTCAAAATCAAATTCTAGAATCATTGTAAAATATCTATTGAAAATTTTTTAACTTCGCTATTATAATTGCGTTTAATTATAAAACAACTTTTCGTAGATTTTTTGTTTGTTTTTTTGTTTTACTTTTTCAACAGTGTCAGCTCTCAAAGAGTCCACAGAAGTAATGGAATGTGATAAGAGAAAAGATCATAATAAATTTATTCCAGCACATTCGTTCAAGATCGATGATCTCCCAAAAGAACACCGAAGTAAAGACCTCCACACGCTCATCATATTGATGGCGAAATTGACCGGACGAATAGAGGTGGATGTTGATTCCAACAATTTCAAACATGGAACCGGCTTTATACAAAGGACTCGCCTACAGCGAGGTCAATGCCCGTGCCACGAATGCCAAGGCAGAAGTGGTCAAAAAGTTTTCGCCGTTTTAACCGTCACTACCGTTGTGCACGTTTTTCCTAATACAAGAGAAAACAATCAATTCAAAATAAACGGGAAACCAGAGGATTTTACCATGCTTTTAAACTATAACACTGAGCCAGTTAATGAAAGAGATACAATCTATGGCTGGCATTTACTAGAAACTGATAAGGATATTAATGAGCGGATGGACTGGTGTTGCATAGAGTTTGTGACCCACAATTTGACGTTGGCGAATGAAATAAAAACTAATTTAACCCAATACCAGGAAATGCAGCTAAAAGTTTATGATAAAGCCGTTAAGGATAAGAAACTACTCAAGAAAGATGTGGACCTAGTCGTAGTCGTTGGTCATCCCCATGGCGGCATCAAAAAGGTTAGTGTTGGCAGGAAGGTCGGTGAGCCTGATCCCTTAAAGGAACTCCGCGATACACAGAGGTGGGGTTGTTACAAATACGACACGCCAACGTGTCCTGGAAGTAGCGGGTCGCCGATTTTAATTCTCGGTCAGCCCATTAGTGGATTCGGATACTGGTTCGGGCATCCACATAATCATTCCGGAAATGACAAACACGGTTTCAATATCAGCTCAATTGGTGTTGACTTCGTTGTAGATGATGAGAACCACCGTGATCCGACTGGCTCTCTGTCACCCGCTCACTGCTCCGTCCTCTAGTGCAGAACTCAGCAACCTGGTGTTTGCCGCGAGACGAGTCTGAGTGGGCCGTGGCTAAATGCATTCAAGAAGTAAAGCACGGATTTTAAAGGTGGCCACATATAAAATGTGATAACATCAAATGCTTTTTTAAAAACTAAACAATGATTAGCTCTCTCCCCCCCCCCCCCCACACATACACAACAAAATCTGTCGAACCTGGCCTGTGACGTATGACACGCATGTCACGTATGTGCACAGGGGGGACATTCGTTTGGTAAATAAAATCTACGGCTCCTACAAGAAGTATAGACTGAAGTCTCGGGAGACGTAAGAGCGAGATTGTCCTCCATACATTCGGAAGACTGAGCTGCGGAGTTAACTGCTCATCAGCGTGAATGTTATCGATGAACCTTTCACCTACATCATCGTGTTTGGAACTCATTTGTTTCTATGATGGAGCATATAAAATGTTTGAAGAAGAAGAACAAGTCCCATCTCACGCTAAAGGCGCGTACATATGTGGGTATTATAAGTTTTGTTTGATGAAGACTATTAAAAGAACATTATATATTTTGAGATGAACTTTCAGGCTGTCATACTGGATGATTGAATTTTTTTCTCGTAGCTTTTCTTTAAAACTAGAATAAATGGACCAAAGTTTTCGGAATAATAATGGTAGGTCCTTTGCGATAATTTATATCTGATATTGCAAAAACTCATCACAATTTATAACTTTAAAAATTTAAAGATATTTACGTTTCTAACTTCATTAAGTTTTAAGAAGTATTTATCTGCTATATATTATATGCCTACCCTAATCCCTTTCAAGCTCGTAAACTACTTTTTACCTTAAACTGCACAGTCCAAATTATCACTAATTATATCACTCTTGTAATTAAAGAAGTTAATTGAGGGACAACTACTACGCTAGAGAAATATTTTAGATTTACGCCTTTTCGTGCATTTGAATTACAACTTTTTTTCTAAAAAAATTATTTAAAAACCTAATCTTAAATTTACTACACAAACTATATAAGTGATATAAAAATATTTTATATTATAGGAATTCGATATATATTGATATCTTCATTAAAATTTCAAGAAATGTTTGCTTTTTTAAAAAGTTATATATTACAAGAAACTTGTAAAACAAAGAACACTTTTATCAAAAGAAGAATGTCGAATCAGTGGTTAAACGCTAAAACAGACTTGAGTGCCTTTAAAAAAAAAAATTAAATTGTTAATCTCATAAAAAATACACACCTCCTTACTTTTTGCAAAATAAAAACAAAAATATATTTTCATTTTTTGAAAGTAAATATTAACCCATCACTATTTTTCAAAATTAATTTTTTTCAAGTGTGTAAAAATTATTGAGGTTTGGTATTCATGTGTATACTTAATAGTTGAACCCAAGATTTGTTAACGCCATTGATTTCCTTAATTGGAATACATATGTTTGTTTGTAAAAGGAGAATTTAACATCTCTATTTTCACAAATGTAATACCATAGGAGTAAGGTATGTTGTCATCCACGTAAAAATGTACACATCTTATTTCCTACCTCCGACATGTATGTACCCAAGAAATTTCATTATTTATCAAATGCATTCCTTTATTTTGAGACGTTTCCTATGCTGCCTGGCGCAAAGTGACCAACCCTCCCCCACCCAGATCTAAATAAATTTAGAAAATCTTCCACCAGATTTTAATCCCTTCCGTACCAAAACTAACATATTTAAAATAAAATAAATGATCCGATGTTATCGTGATAATGACCGTATTTCCATTGCGATAATTTCTACTTGCTTTTGCAAAACCCCATCACAATATCTAACTTTAAAAAGATGAAATCTATGTAATACTATTTACGTTTCAAACATCATTGAGTTTTGATCAATATTTATCTGCTATATATTACACGCCTAACTTACTCCCTTTCACGATCCTAAATTACTTTTTTCTATCTAAATATGACCGTAAATTACCCAGTCTAAATTATCACTAATAATATAACTTTTGTCACTAAAGGAATTAATTGAGGGACGAATTCTACCATAGAGAAATAATTTAGATTTACCGATTTTCGTGACTTTGATTTGCAATTTTTTTCTCTAAAAATGAGAAAAAAAAACATAATGAGATGATATAAATATATTTGATATTAAAAGAATTTTTTTTATATTGATATCTTCATCAAAAATGCAAAAACACTTGTGCCTTTAAAAAAAAAATTATACATCATTAGAAAATCGTAAAAAAAATATTATTCTATAAAAAGAAAGATTCTCGCCACCGTTTTTCATGCCTAATCCATCGAGTATCATTTTTAAACTCATAATTAATTTTTCAAGTGTGTAAAATAATTGTATTTTGATATTCACAGGTATACTTATATACCCACGATTTGTTTAGACCTTTAAAATTGTTCTTAATGTTAAACATATGTTTATTTATAAAAAGAGAAAGTAACATATCTTTTTTTTTCACAAATGTAATACCATAGGAGTTAACTATATTGTCATCCACTTAAAAATGTACACATCTTAATTCCTAATCCCGATATATATTTACGTAAGAAAATTAATTATTTATCAAATTCATTCCTTTATTTTGATCTTTTGCTGCCTTGGACAAAATGAGCATATTTTTAAAAATATAATGTAACATCTTTTTTTGTCACAAATGTAATACCATAGGACTGAAATATATTGTCATCCCCGTAAAATGTACACATCCTATTTCCTACCTCCGATGTGAATGTACCCAAGAAGGTGAATTATTGATCAAATTCATACCTTTATTTTAAGACGTACCTTTACCTGCTTGAGGCAAGGTGACCACACCCCCCCCCCCCAAGATTTAAATAAAAGTAGAAATCTTCCACCGAATTGTAGTCCCTTCCATACTCAAACTAACCTATTTTGCACTTGATATTGTTCGTTCTCATTTGTATGAGTTACACGTCGATTAGTGAATGCTATTTTGCTATGGAGTTGCGCTGCACTGTTTGCCTTAAATGGCTTTTTCTCATTAGAAGTATATTTCAATGTTAAGTTTTTATTACGTTGTAAGTTAAATAAAATTGCATTTTTTTTTAATTAAAAAAGTAAAACTTATTAAATGTTAAAAATAAAAAGCTAAAATGTGTGTGTACGTTACTAAGAATTTAAAGAGCAATCCGAACGTACTTAAATCATATCGGTTTTTTTGACGTTATATCACTATTTCTCATTCGTATATACTAGCGAGAACCTGGCATGAGTTGCAATGCCACTAAAATAAAAAATAAAAATTTGTTTGTATTAAATTGCATTTTTTAAGTAATTTTTAAATAGAAAATATTTGTTTGTTTTCTCTTTCTGGTGCGTACACAAATAAATAAGAAGGTTTGTCGAAGCGTGAGCAGGCAACATTCCTCCTTGCACGTGAGAAACATGGGGTTTTAAAATTTAGTCAACACAATTGTAGCGATTGATTCAACCATTCAGTAGTTCTGTTTGAAACTATATTTATGTAGATCACTTGGAAAAAAAAAATAAGGGCCCAGGCCTCAAACGCAAAATTGTAAAATAGGTGTACTAATTCAGAAACCTACGTATTATGTCACACACAAACTGAAATGTCGCTTGAATTTGATTCAATGCCATCCATTAATGCAATAACTGTGTTTGAAATTATATTTCTATAGTTCTTATAAGAAAAATGATAATTTAGGGCTCCCGGAATTTCAAAATGGAAAACATAATTCAGAAACCTTTGCGGGCGGGCGCTCAAAAACTTACCAAAGTCTTATCGCAATCGGATGAATGTTATAGGAACCCATACGGAAATTATACTTAACTCATGAAGGAAGAAAAAAGGAGATTTGTGGCACGGGCCAAAGACGGAATATTGTAAATGTGTGTAACGATTTAGTAAAATTTTCGGGCGTGCGTACATCAACTGACAAAAAATTGCAATCGGGTAAATGGTATGGGAGCGCATACGGGACACACATACATACATTAATGTCTTTATAGGTATAGATATAGTTTACCGAATGAAAGATAACTTTTGCGTAAATTTTCATGGAAGCGTTCTGTCTGACTGTCCTGCCATCCATCTGTCCATCCATCTATATATCCAAGCATCAATCCGCATATCCATCTATCTATCAATCCATCTACCCATCCATATAATCAAATTTTATCTATCTATCTATCTATCTATCTATCTATCTATCTATCTATCTATCTATCTATCTATCTATCTATCTATCTATCTATCTATCTATCTATCTATCTATCTATCTATCTATCTATCTATCTATCTATCTATCTATCTAATCTATCTATCTATCTATCTAATCTAATCTATCTATCTATCTATCTATCTATCTATCTATCTATCTATCTATCTATCTATCTATCTATCTATCTATCTATCTATCTATCTATCTAATCTATCTATCTATCTATCTAATCTAATCTATCTATCTATCTATCTATCTATCTATCTATCTATCTATCTATCTATCTATCTATCAATCAATCAATCAATCAATCTATCTATCTATCTACAATCAAACAATCAAAGAATGACAATCAAAACAAACAATTGATGACAATCAAACAAACAAGGGACGACAATCAAACAATCAAAGGACGACAATCAAACAAAAAATGGACAACAATCAAACAAACAAGGGACGACAATCAAACAAACAATGAATGACAATCAAACAAAGAATTGACGACAATCAAATGATGGCAATCAAATAAAGGACGAAAATAAAACAAACAAATGACGACAAACAATCATTAGACGAAAATCCAACAAACAAAGGACGATAATCAAACAAAGGACGACAGTAAAACAAACAAAGAACAACAATGAAATAAACAAATTACGACTGTCAAACAAACAAAGGACGACAATAAAAAAACAATTGATGACAATCAAACAAACAAAGGAATACAATTAAACAAACAATTGACCACAAACACTCAAAGGATGACAACAACCAAACTATGGACGCCAACAAAACAAACAAAAGATGTCATTTAAAGAAACAACGAATGCCCGTCCGGCAAACACAGAGAAGCAGCAGGTCATGGCCGGCATTTGTGTGTTCCCCATCGCATCCTCTGCCATGAAGAACATCCCACTGAAGGTGGCTGAAGATGTATCGCCCCTCCAGAAAAATAAAACAATGTACCACCCGGGTCGGTCCAACTCCCTGTGCAACCCACTTCTTACGCCACGCGAAAGGAAATAAATTAAAAACTTCAGCACTTTGTTGTAAAGATGATTTTGATAAGTCAATGTAGGTCAAGGTTGATGCATCGAAGGAATGGCACAGCATTAAGTCAAGTGACGTCACGGCGCCGATGGCTAGATCGGCTCTGCAAAAGATGGTGGTTCTAAAACAGAGCGAACCTTGACACCTGAAAGAAGAAAAAGCAACTAATTACACAACAATGGCGTGATCAAGACCTGATCAATACTGCACCGGTACAATTCAATATTTAAAAATAAAACTTGAATTTAATCAATGTAAAAATTTACAAAACTCTAAAAAAAAATGTAAATATTATATACGTTTGAGAGCCGCTCTTCGGAAATCATTTAAATCTCTCTCTCTCTCTTTCTCTCTCTCTCTCTCTCTCTCTCTCTCTCTCTCTCTCTGTATATATATATATATATATATACTACAGTCTTCGAATAAGAATCGCTAAAAATATAACAAGTTTTGTGACTCGTTGGGTTTTGTAAAACCAACAAATAAAGGACACTATCAATTTCTATTGATCGGCGTCAACTATTGACTTACGGCGTGTGTGTGTTACGGTCCAGCTGTTTTTTTCTTCAGTCAACATTCAATGGTTCACGCTGCTGCATTAGTGTACGCCTCGTAAAAGAATGGCCTGGCGATATGACAAACTACATGAGGTCATAGACAAGTTGTATTTATAGACGCACCAGTGCAGTGCTTAGCGTAAGCAGTCTGTGCAACATATACACGTGTAGTGCTTGACATAGCCGCGGAGAATCACATACAACCGTGGAGTGTTAGACACAGCCGTTGAGTGTTAGACACAGCCGTTGGAGTGTTAGACACAGCCGTTGGAGTGTTAGACACAGCCGTTGAGAGTTACTTGCATAAAACCGTGCGATGTGTTGTTCAGTAATTTGAGCTATTATTGATTAAATCAACCAATTCGGAGAAAAGACAACACGAACCAGCAGCGTGAGAAGAATTTCTACAACACCACTTAACCGCAAGTTGTAAGTGAGTCTTTTTATTGCACGCACTGCCTAGTGGGGTCCCGCCCCCACTCCCCCCAACCCCCACGGTCGAGTGCCATATCAGTTGGCACAGGCAGCAGACTTGGCATTATACTAAGGTATAGAGCAAACATTCCCGCTATGACGTTGAAAAGTGTTTGCTAAGACCTAATAATTTGATCTCTGTGGCTATACCGATCTCTGTGGATACACGATCTCTGTGGATATACCAATCTCGGTGGAAATACCTTCTCTGTGGATGTACCATCTCTGTGGATGTACCATCTCTGTGGATGAACCAAGTTTTTACAATTTAGAATCTGTGTTGCAGCTCTGGTTCTGGCACAGAGACCAGGTGGTTCACTTAACCACAAAGGCATTAGGGCCGCTTAGCATTGGAGGGAATTCTCCAGTCATACTACTTGAGACTTGGTAGAAGTTATCAGTTTAATCACTTAATAAATTTTTTTATTTTAATTCATTAACATTTTTTTTTTCAATTTAATTATTTAGTAGACAATTAGAGAGTTTCTACGTTTTAGTTAATTTTAACAACGTCCTTCTCACATTACAGCTTTTCATCCAACTGAAACACCCACAGACACAGACTCAGAACCTGAAAGAATCCGATAATGAAATGGTCTCCTTGACTTCAGCGGACGACCTAACATTAGAGAATACTAACAAACAAAAGGCAATCCATAAAAAATAAATAGATCCGCCGAAGGAACTGTTAATGATTGCACGAATTTATAAATGCATAATTAAAAACTTTGATTGACAGAAAACTTAACTGGTTGAATTTCATATGCGGAAAGGAACGATGTCTAAAATGGTTCCAGCTCAATCATTTTCGAAAATGGATCTTCCCGAACGTTGTAGAGCGGACGATGATTTATTAAAGCTGATTCAATGTATGAAACAGTTGACTGGAAGAATTGACATTTCAGGGCACCGCGCCGGAACTGGATTTATACAAAGGATTCGATTTGTTCACGGTAAATGTCCATGCTCAGTCGATTGTAGAGACTCCAGATATAAGTATGCCATTTTGACAGTCTCCACTGTCGTTCACATTTTTGATGATAAGCCAGACAGAAAGGATTTATTGCATGAGTTTGTTCGTAAACCTGAAACTGCTCAAATAATATTAGACTATGAACGGGATGATGATGATTTGTCATGTTTACCAACATTGTACGGCCACAGGCTGCTGGAGACGGATAAAGATCTTGGTATAGACAGTGACTGGTGTTGTTTGGAGTTCGTGAGCCATGAACTGCGTCTGGTTGAAGAACTGAACACAAGTTTAACCAGCTACCAAGAGCTGCAGGGCAAAGTTTACCAGAAATACAAAGGCGAGTCTGTGAACCTTGTCGTTCTTGTTGGCCATCCTGGCCGTCGTCCCAAGCAAATAAGCATTGGTAAAACAATTCGTAAATACAAGATCCTAAAGGAAATTCGAGACGGTCAAAAATGGGGGCGGTATTACTACGACGCACCGACTGAGAAGGGAAGCAGCGGTTCACCGGTTTTTGTTCTAGGGCAGCCCATATCTGGATTCGCATACTGGTTCGGTCATCCACATAACCATTCTGCTAAGAAAACTGAGAAAATAAATTACAGTTCAATCGGTGTAGAATATGTGGTGTAGAACATGTGGTGTAGAATATATTATAGAGTGTAATGTAGCGAAAACATATGAAAAAACAAGTTATGCAATATAGAAAACCATATTTTCTTTATCATACTATCTCCAAGTCTATTTGTATTTCTCTTTATATACCCTTGATAGTTAACATTAAATTGAATCCGACAAAAGAATAAAAAAAATTACTAAACATTTTATTTCTTCAATATGCCCAAATCATTTACCGTAAAGTGTAAGTATTTATGTTCTTGAGGTGACACAATTTGGTAGAACGAAGGGGGGTTGGGGGGTCACGTTGTTAAACTTTCACAAATTTAAGACCAATGACACTTAGAGTGGTAAAAATATTCTGTTGCGATTTTCCTGACAAGCCCTTCACATTTAGCTGTGTAGTGGCAACTGGAAACCACGAAACGCTCGACCCGCGACATGCCTGACTCAATGCAAGTGTCAGCAACGTCTGTGTCCGTCCAACCAACAACAGCTGGTTGGGGTTGTCGCTAGTCTCCCCATACCATGAAAAATCTTGCCATTTTAATAACTTTTTTGTTGAAAGCAAGCGACTTCACGGAATATTTTAGAAAAAAAAATAATGGCTTTGGCATCATTTTCTTATTTAATCTATTTGGTTATGCTAAGTGCCTATATATTTTTTTTTTAACTTAAAATTTATTTTTAAAAATTGTAACAAATTTAATGGTGAAAAATACGTGGCTTAAATTCGGGCGCAGTGTGTTACAACATAAGCTTTAAATTTAAAAAAAAGAAAAAACTATCAATGAGATGGTTTTTGTAAAGGAGGAGGCAAAATATTACCAATTCGTGTCATATGCCGAATGCTGTTAAAATTGAGGACAGTTCAAGTTTGCCATTTTCAGGTTTAAAAAAAAGAAGACTTCTTGTTAGTTTGTTCATATTTTTTGGTTCTTTGAGTTTAAGAGAAAATGAGATTTTATTTGGAGTCATTATATTCATTTAAACTATCATTCGATAATCATTTAATTATAAGCCATATGCGTTGAATGTATGTAATGTAAACCTCATCTTATACAACGTCTTCACGCTCACTCATGGATGAAATACTCAAGGTAATTCTGTAATTTTTATGCATAATTAATTTATTATTTATAATAACACTCAGGCTACATATCAAAGATTTAGGTCTAAGCATATTTATTTGATCATATATAAATTGATTTGTCTTCTGTCAATAACACGTAATTAGAAGCTCCTCTCCAAATCAGTGTACGCGTATTCTAAGCGGTTATGCAGCGTTGTGTGGCCGGCCTAGCTCATTCTTATGCTAGTTACAGCCCGACAAAGAATGGCGGTGGGAAAAAATTCTTGTACTTCGCATCTACTAAAGTTACATGAAGAATAAAAAATCAATCAATTAACGCGCTTTACACGAATCCCTTTTAGTGATAGCATCCGTAGGAACGCAACCGAACTCTTTTTGTCAAGCCCTTGAACTATACTAACATTCTAACGTCTCGCATATTTATTAAATCAAATTTTAATTGAGTGTATTGCCGTAAAACAAAAGAAAATAAAAAAAATATTACGTACCAAACGCACTTACGGTCTTTTTTAAGCATCTCATTTAACGCAGCTAGTGGGAAATTTATTTCGCGCGTTATTGAACTCACCATTACGCCATACTTGTATAACTGGTAGGACTCGTGGACTGCTTCCTGATAAACTGCTTCCTAATCAGTGAATTTGGTATTGAGAGTATATTACAAATAATTCTAAATGTTGGGGGAAAAAACATGGTTCAATAGTGAGTTTAATAGGGCGCAAAATATAATTCCCGATAACTACGCTAAATGATATATATTTTTTATATAACGCAACTGCGTTTGGTGCGTAATATTTTCTTTTGTGAAAATGAAATCGTCTCAATTTAAGTATAGTGTGAAAAATGTTCGGATTAAAAGTGGTTGGGACATCAAAATATTTAATACTAGACTAAATGACCCGATGTTATCGGGATTAATAATTGTAGGTCCTTTGCGATAATAACTAACTGATATTTCAAAAACTTATCCCAAGTCATAAATTTAAAAATGTAATGATATTTACTTTCTAAAATCATTAAATTTTGAGAAGTGCTTATCTGCTATATATTATACGCGTATCCCACACCCTTTCATGCTACTAAACTACTTTTCCCCCTCTTAACATGACCTTAAATTACCCAGTCCAAATTATCACTAATTACATCACTTTTGTCACTAAAGAAGTTAATTTAAGGGACAATTACTACGCTAGAGAATTACTTTAGATTTACCACTTTTCTTGCCCCTTAATTGCAATTTTTTTCTCTCAAAATTTAAAAAAAACCTAACCTTAAATTTACAACAAAAACTCTATATATGATATAAATATATTTTTTATTTCAGGCATACCATATATATTGATATCTTCATTAAAAAATTTAAACAAATTTTTGCCTTTTAAAAAAATTATACATTATCAGTAAAACGTAAAACAAAAAATTATTTTATCTAAGAAAAATCTCGCAACTTTTTTTCACGCTTATATCAGATTTGAATGTCTTTTTCTATAAAACAATTAAATTGTTAATCTCATAAAAATACACACCGCTTTAGTTTTTGCAAAGTAACAACAAAAATATATTTTCATTTTTAAAAAAAAAAAAAGAAAATATTAACCCATCTTCATTTGTCAAAATTTCATTTTCAAGTGTGTAAAATGATTGGATTTTGATATTCATGGATAGACTTGTACCCAAGATTTTTTAAAGCCATTGATTTTCTTAATTGGTAAACATATGTTTATTTGTAAAAAGAGAATCCAACATCTCTTTCTTCACAAATGTAATACCATAGGATTTAAATATATTGTCATCCAAGTAAAAATGTACACATCCTTTTTCCTATCTCCGATATTTTTATGTACCCAAGAAGGTTAATTATTAATCAAATTAATTCCTTTATTTTGGGACGTATCTTGCGCTGCCTTGGGGAAAAAAACGAACATACCCTTATTTGTAAAAAGAGAATGTAGCATAACTTTTTTCATAAATGTAATACCATAGGATGTAAATATATTGTCATCCACGTAAAAATGTACACATCCTATTTCCTACCTCCGATATGAATGTACACAAAAAGGTTAATTATTTATTAAATTCATTTCTTTATTTTGAGACGTATCTTCCGCTGCCTGGGGCAAATTGACCAACCCCTCCCCCAACCAGATTGAAATAAATTTAGAAAATCTTACACCGGATTGTAGTGTAGCCCCTTTCATACACAAACAAAAACATATTTTGCACTTCATATGGTTCCTTCTTATTTGTATGAGGTATAAGTGACTGCTATTTAGCTCTGGAGTTGCGCTGCACTGATTGACTTAAACCGCATTTTCTTATTAGAATTATATTTAAAGCTTAGTTTTTACTAAGTGAAAAATTTAATAAAAGTATATTTTTGGAAACAAAAAAAGGCAAAAACTTTTAAAATGTTAAAATATACACAGCTGAAATGTGTCTGTGTTTTATTAAAATTTTTAAAAAGCAATCAATTGTATTTATTAGTTTTACTTTTAAGAAGGGAAAACACGTGATCAGTTTTGTCACGCGCGGTTATTAAATTCAAAGAAACCGAAGAGTTTTGGCGAAATAGGATATTCGCGCTATGACGTCATTTTCGTGATTATTTAAGGTGTGAAAAGGTGACCATTCGTTCTTTTGTTTTTACCATTACAGCTCTGTTATTTTGGTATCTGTGTCCTGGTCAGTCGTGGGAGGTTGAATTTAAACAAAAACAAAAAAATGGAATCCTGAAGAACAGAAATGTCCTGGTGGTACATTAAGGGTCGTTCGAAAATTACGTCACGCTCAGAAAAAAAAAAGGTTGGGGGG